TAATATTCAGTGTTAAAGGGTTAAGCACGCAACATCAGCCGGCAAGCATTAGCTGAATAATGCGCACTGTATGAATCGCTGGATTAACATGTAAGATGATCATTATTATATGTACCAAATGACTGTTAGAATCATACTACATGTTTAATAACAACTTTTAATGCTACCCAAAGATTTTTTTTGTCCTTCAAAATTTTTCCTATCATTTGTGATAAACATGTAGTACATGCCGCTAACAACATCAGGCTTTGATAATGTAACCCTCTGTCCTACATAAATGATAGTCACACAAATTTAAGTCAATGCTAAACTCTAATGAACACTAAACCTCATTCACACCCTCACTGTGTCCATTATAGCTACAAGCAACCATTATTTACTGTTATACATTAATTTATTTTATACAGTTTCATGACTTCATACTGAGCCATACTGGATTTATACACTAATGGTTTTCACACACATTTTTCACATTGCACATGCAGTGAAGTACTAGTGACATTAAACAATGTCATTAAGATAATGGACCTCCCATTTCAAAACCCAATTTTCATCAACAATCAATGCTTAAGTAATATTAATAGACTTAACTGCTTGGAAACGATTAGTACCAACATGCTTCAATTCCAAACCAGGTGTATAAGTATCAGAAGGAGTGTCATATAACTCCTGGGTTCCATATATAGCCCAGCCAACAAAAGTATGAGTAAGAATATATGGATTAACCTAACATTGTTGTTAGTGTTATAATCTGTGTTAGTGGCTCACAAATAATTTCTATACATTTTCCAATAATTTATGTAATCATATATGCTTGAATATCTGGTTGCACTTAAGGCCATCAAAATTAGATTTATTGTTTCTCCTTTCTTGCCTGCATACTCCCACATGCCTCAGTGATATTCTGATTAATCAACGTGCCAGTGGTCCACATGCATGTGAGGTGAATAGGTACCGAGGACGCTGCTCGAAGAAAGAGGCAAGGATTACTTATAATTAGATCTAGGTTTGTTATACTAGATTATAATTTATTATAATGTTCAAAAGAGCTAAGTTTCCACATGTCACACAAGTAAACCAAAAGCAATAGGGGACCCTAGTTTGCCATTTTATTTGCCTCTGAGTCAAGTTCATGATGACTGATGTCCTCATTGTCCTTTGCTTTTACCACTGACCTTGCACACATTAACTTTGCAAATTTATGTTTCTGATATGACTGTAGTGCTCAAGACTTTCTGAAACTATCATTTTGAGACTAATTTCGAGCTTATATATTTTTTTCTGGCTATAACTGGTTCTTGCTGTTTGATGATAGACTTCATCTCTCTCCTCAGTACCTGACTGTCATTCTATTTAAATGGAGTGAATACTGTCAGGTTTGTGCATGCTTGTGTAATGAATTATTGACACAGATACTATCTCTAGACTCTCTTGTATTGAAGCAAGTCATTTGGTTTACTTGTCTCACTGGCATTTTATTTCATTAAAGGTCAGCCTTCATTATATTTTTAATTCATTCTCTCTCTCTCTCAATAACCTTCAGTGTATACAACAGTACGGCAGTTGCTTAATTATCCACTGATCATTTTTTTGATTAACTGGAGCTCATTTTGTTAAGGTTAGCGGATTTTTTATGTTATTATGTACTCTGCTGTCTTCCTTTCTTTCTCCTTCCCTCTTTCTCATTTTTAGTATCTCACTACCAGTGTTTCCCTTAATTGTAATCGTGAATACTATTAGGTTTTTTACATGTTTGTGTCATGGTTTATATACTGTACTTTCTCTAGACTCTCTTGTTTTTGTATTGGATCAAGTATTTTGGTTTCACATTGTTGTTTCATTTCATTAACTGTTAGCCTTGATTGTAAATTTAATTTATTGTGTCTCTCTCTACAACCTTTAGTGTATACAACAGTACAGCAGTCGCATGCTTTTACTCTGATCATTTTTTTATAAACGGGAGCTCATTTTGTTAAGGTTAGTGCGTGTTTGATGCAAGTTTTATGTACAATTTCTTTCGCATTCTCTCATCTTATTTCTATTGTCTCACTACCAGTGTTTTCCTTTGTTTTAATAGTGAATACTGTCAGGTTTGTACCTGTTTGTTTCATGATTTATTGACACACATACTGTACGCTCTCTAGACTCACTTGCATTGGATCTTGGTTTGACACTGTTTTTTCATTTCATTAACGGTTAGCCTTGATTGTAAGTTTAATTTATTCTTTTTTTCTATCCTTTAGTGTATACGGCAGCAATTTTTACAGTCCCATACACAGTGACCATCTATACTACTTATAATCCTATGAATACATTTTATTCCTTGCTTTCTTGTCAGTGTCTATAATAATAAATTTGTATTATCGTTTAAGGTAATACCCAACTTCAATTTTAATGATTATTTCATGAATACTATTTTGAAGGCAATAAAAAGTAATCAACTTTTACACTTTTCAAATTTTTAGGATTAGGCATTTATTAATAATAGTTAATCGAACTTAAATTATGTTTTAAAATTATTGTTGCATAACTTTTGATTCTGTCAAAACTAATTTGTTGTGGTAACTAGTTGATTTTATTTCCCTTTTCTCATTCCAGACTCAGTTGTAAAGAAATTTGATGTTCTCATTTGCCTAGTGTACGGCAGCATTTGCTAAGCATGGATTTCTACCAATAAGCAGCTAGGAACTTGCCATGATTGATATCTTGATATAGCATCGCTATTTTTCTATTACTTGATGCAGAATTGTTTTCCTTACTAATTCTATTTATTTTATATTATATTTTGAAAAACTGTAAGAAAAGAGATAAATATTGCAGCAGCAATTAGAGGAAGGTAATTTGTTTCCGAGCACCTAATAAACTGAACACTAAACCCTAATCCCTACACCCTCACAGCCTACTTGAGTTTTTATGTATTAGCCTATGATAGACCCAAACTTACTCATTTAGGGTACTTTTATTGTTTTTTTAAATATGTAAAGCTTTGAAAAGAGCTGGTTATGGTAGTAGCTCTGAAAAGAACTGGTTCAAGTAGTTCTGAAAGAATTGGCGAAATTATTAAAGAGATGGTCAATACACTTCCTTAGTCTCCTTGAAGAAAGCCGTTAGCCTGTCTTCAGAATGTGCTAGATACTGGCGACGGAAGATAAAGTCGGCCAAATAAGAGTTGTAGTGATCCTTTGTAGTACCAGACCTAGGTAGAGACCTCTTCACTGCTCTCCAAGTACTTTCTATTGTCAGAGTGTGGTCTCCTGTCTCTGAGTTTACAAACTCATTTCTGTGTGATTAAAAGTACCGTGAATGTATCCCTCCTCAAGTTTGTCATAACTTTTCCAGCTATTGGACATTATCTTGGTGCCAGGCAAGATGTACTGCTTAATAATAGGAATTAAAGTTGCAGCTGACCTGTCTTCTACTGACACTAAGAAACACTTTTTGCCATCTCTCTCGATACCACCAGAAACCCAGACACCATCTACCATCCTACCACAATGATACTTGCGTTTGCCAAACTTCGACTTATCTATTTTCACTACTTTAGCTACCCCTCCAATTGGCTCACTCTTTGTTTCTATGACAGTAGCACAAACCTCTTGACAAAAGTTACACTTGTCTACAACAGTATTAGGTGAAGCAATCACACACTTTCTCATGATAATTTGTTGCTCATACTGCCATACCCACATGTAAGTAAAGAGCAACACTTTCTCAATGGATATGTGGCTTCCTTCTAGCCAACTACCCTCCTGACACTTAAGGCCTTTTCACACTTGTCCACTTTGGATCCAGAATTAAGATAAAATCCAGGATTGAAACTAGATTAGCTTGTTCACATTAATCCCGAATCAAGACTGAAGCTAGATCGCTTCAATCCACATCCAGAGGTGGTTTGGAAGTGGTTTGATCTTGATTAAAAATTCATTTTCAGTGATAATGACATTATGTGATCTCAAAATAAAATGGCTGGTGGATGGACAGAAGTGGAAACTTGTGCTTTAATTGATGTATGGGGAGATGCTGATGTCCAGCATCAACTAGATTCTGTGAGCAGAAACAGGCATATCTACGAGAAGATATCTACTGACCTTAATAACCTTGGCTATCACAAGACTTGGCAACAGTGCAAAACAAAGGTGAAAAACCTCACACAAAGATACAGAAAGGTATGGTAATAGCTTGAACGTACCCCATTACTTTAATGTTATATAGTTGAGGGATGGCCATTGTGTTACTGGAACAGGAAGATCAGAGTGGCACTTGTACGATAAAATTGATGCCATTTTAGGCACTAGAGTCTCCTCCGATCCTCCTCTTGTGCTTGATAGTGGTGCACTTGAGGCAAGCATTATTACAGATATGACAGAGCCTGAAGTATCACCATTTGATGAACATAATGACAGTGGCAAGTTAATTTTACAATACTAATCCAATGTGTAAATTAATTAATTTTAACAGCAAGCAGCTCTAGATCTACTAGTGTAGAGAATAATATTACAGAAGAAACATCAACAGAGCAAGAAACAAGTAAGAACTGAGAAGGTCTGTTATGTATTTATTATTATAGCAATAGATTCACATCCTGAAACTACATCTGATGAAGCCACTTCTATAGTAATGACACCACCAGTAACCACTAAGAAGAAAAGGTATATACATATACATGTACATGCTACATTAATTGTAAATGTGTAACTATTTATAGGGTTAGGAAACCAAATAAAGGTGACCTCCTAACAAACCTACTTAAGTTTGAAGAAGACCTGGAAAAAAGAGAAATAGAAAGGGAAGAGAAAAGATTGAAGTTAGAAATTGAGCGTGAAGAGAAGAGAAGACAAAGTGAACAACAACACGAGGAGAAAATACTAGCGATGATTCTGACATGTTTGCAGCCAATAATGATAGCAAATACTAATAATAGTAACAATAACAATACATTGTAACAATCAAAAAGTTAACAATTATTTGATTATATAATGTTTTCATTATTGTTAATCATTTCAGTTATGTTGGAAGTATAATTTGATTGCATCTCTAATAATAGCAGCAGAGCTTGAAGGTAATTGCTGAGTGTTTGATGGCTGAGATACTGGTTGAGTTGGTGATTGGCAAACCCAGTCTGGTGACCAATGATCATTAAATTTCTCACACATGTTATGTAGTGTAATACAAGCACTCACAATAGATGGAACATTATCCAAGTGACAGTCTAAGCGCTTCAATAAAATCCGCCACCTTCCCTTTAATCTCCCAAAGGAGTTTTCAACGACCATACGTGCCCGACTTTGTCGGTAATTATACAGTTTGATATCATCTGGTGATGAAGGTGTTTCTATATAGGGCTTCATAAGCCAAGAAAGTAATGGGTATGCAGCATCACCTAATATCACCAATGGAACATCAACACTTCCCAACTTTCTCGTCAAACATGGCAATAAGCTACCTTTAATACCCTTCTTATATAAAGATGAGTTTTGAAAAACACGAGCATCATGGCATTTACCAGGCCATCCTATGTAGGCATCTAAGAACTTCCCTGTGTGATCGACAAGGCCTTGAACAATAATTGAGTAGAAACCTTTGCGATTATAATAATCAGATGGACAATGACATGGCTTTATAATGGGTATATGACTTCCGTCTATTGCCCCAATGGCTTGGGGAAACCCCCATCGAGATTGAAAGCCATCAACAACTTTCTGTTGTCCTTCACCTGTTGGTATGTAAACATACATGTGAAAAAGATGCTCTGAAAGCACTTCACAAGTTTCGATCACAATAGTACACACAGTTGAGCACCCAATGCCAAATAGAGCAGAAATAGTCCTGTAGTCTACATTTGTAGCTAACCTCCACAAAGTGACAACTACTCTCTCATCTACTGAAATTGGTTGCCTCAAATAAGTATTTTTTCTCACTATATACGGTTGCACTTCTCTACAAATCTCCTCAAACGTTTGTTGAGTTACTCTGAAATTATCTTTCCACCACACCTCCCCCATACTACCTGCTTTAACACTGTACCACCACTCCTTACATCTTGGTCTAACCCAATAAGCTCTGTCAGGGCACTGCCTCTTGAACGGCAGCAAAACTTTAATTCTATGATCATGAGGAATGATACAGGTTCTTACAGTCACATCAGTTACCTTAACAGTCTTTTTCGTTTCCTCAATATAATGGCCCTTCTTTCACCTAATAGTTTTAACATTCTAACCCTGCATCTTTGTTTGTGTCGCTTATAAAGAAGGTAAAACAAAAGCAACTGCAACATGAACCATTCAGCAGCCATTTTATTAGTTAACAGAATAGGTGTGGTTAAAATCTACTAGTTAATTAAGCCTGTGCTCTATAGTGTGAACAGGTTCAAGACAAACTAATCAAGTTTCTCTCCTGGATGTATCTCGAATCTGGATCGATAGTAGACAAGTGTGAAAAGGCCTTTACCTTCTTGTTGCACTTTCTGTTACTACACTTCCATACCATCGTATCCTTCGAGTAGCTGGAGTCTTTCATTAGCCTCATGTTACCACTGCAGCCACAAGAAGGACAGTCATAGTCCTGAACATCACCAATAATTCCCTCTCTCCTAAACCACTTCAAGACATACTCCTTGCTCTTTCTACATATGTTAAACACATCCTCTAGTATCATACCAGAAGCAAGACCAACGCATTCTCTCTTAGGCTTAGCACTAGTACTTGCTGAAGAAGACGCCATTTCTGTAAGCATGTACTGGGTGTGGACTACCTATGCAGTGGCTGTGACCTACACTTCGTTCAATGACGTATTTCCTGTAAAATGGTCAGGACCGGTAAACTGTAAACTACCCATACTAGGTTATATGGAAACAGCAAGTTTGCTGCTGCATTCTTTTATGTTTTGCATTATCTATATATATTTGCTGTAGGGCTCTGTGATCACTCTGCATTAATAACTTTTGTCCATTCCAGGAGTTGCCACCATCAAGTTTAGCATTTTAGTCGCATTGTTTTGCTACTGAAGAGTTTGAGTGAGCCCCACATTTCCAACTAAGTTATACTTTTGTTTGCTGCAGCGCTGGAGTCTCCAGAGCAGCTTAGCTTTTATCCAAACAAACTGTTTTTATACTCTGCAATTTTTGCAAAACATGTGTGCATGTTAAGAGATGCCCACTTTGATAAGCTAAGGCATAATTCCCTCTTACTTTTAAAACTGAAAACACTGATGTATTAATTTTATTTCCAACTAATGGGAAAGCCTGGGTAACTGCACAGTATGTTCAACTGGAATTATGTTCATCAGAAATGACAAGTTTAGTGTAAATTGCTATTAACTTCTTGTTAATAAATGCATGGTTATTTGTGTAGTACTGTACTGCTGAACAGTTGTCAGAAGTTTGTGTTCCATGATGTGTCATATCTTCCATTTCAGCAAAATGGGATTGAAGCAAACTCTGTAATTAAAAATGTACGCACTACCAATCTGTAATTTAACTGCATAACAAATTGCAAGTGGCACTTTCTTAATAATTAATATTACTTTATCTCAAAAATATGTTTATGCCCTAACGTTTTTTAAAAAATACCAATGCTTAACTCTGAAACCTCATAGCTTTTTCCTCTTGCTTTCTTTTTTCTATTGCAATTGATAAAGAATTAAAGTGTTTCACTAGGTAGTTTGTCATTCTCCTCGTGGTGTTGTAATTTATTAATTTTATCTCTACGTACAAGTGATCCACATTTAGGACCTTTTTATAATGCTTGTAATAATATTTCGGTATCTATGCCATACTTTACTTGTTCTATCTTAATTTTATTTCCACAAGTGCAGTACACAAATCGTGAAATACATTGAATTTTCCTTCCTGTAGACATAGTAAAAAACAATTGTGTATGCTGTCATTAATATGGGTTTGTTTACATACCGTCGTGGTTCTCTTTAATACATTGCTTTCAGCGTCCTTATATTTTATGATAAATGACTAAATGTATCACTTTTATCTTGTTTAGTTTTTTCCTACAGACATGGAATGAGAGAACAAGTGAGCTTCATGTCTTAGAATCTTCTGACACTTGGTATAGTGCTTAGCAATTTTAAGTTTGAGTACTGAAATGTAAAATTTTGGTACCATCCATAGAAAAGTTTTGAATCAATAAAGAATCAATACTGAAATTATGATCGAAGGACGTGACGGAGGTCTCTGTGCCTTAGCAATGCCATAAATTTATGCTCATGATTTTTGTAAAGATTTTTGAACTTTTGGTCATGGTAATTACGAACTGCAATGTATGTGTCACTGCAATTTTTTTATTGTGTAATGCAAGCAGCACTTACAATTATTACTTAATGCATGCGGGTACGAAGTTCATCATCCACTTTTGTGCTGGGTTATCACTTTGATTGTGAAACATGACGTATCAGTTATAAAATGAAATTGTTGGCTTGAGTAAAGCATGGAAATTCGTCATTTGAGCACTGCAATGACTAAATTTTGCATGGACACACTATTATAGTGTTATTATTTTTAGTAAATTGAATGACTGCCTAAGAAAACTATACACATAAACAGATGGAATTTATTTTTTTTCTGCGGAAAAAAGTGCACAGCATTGTAATCGGCAGGATAAAAATTACAAAAGTAATACTATCCCTGAATACATTTTTCATTGAACAAAATTCTCATTACTTGCCAAACAAATCCAGAAAAAAAAGTTGTTTACCTAGTGCAGCAATTTAAAATACAAAGTGACTCTGAAAAATATCAAAGATATTTCAAACTTAAAATACTTTTAGATGGGATTACAAAAGCTTAAATTCAGAAGGATGGTTTTGCTAGTCTTCTTGCACATAGATATAGTTCATACGAAGTTTTTATAATTCAAGTAAATAACCAAATGTGACCATAATTGACAAAAGGTACCTTATGGCTGGTAGTGAAATGTGTCTTTATAGCCTAAAAAATCTAACTTCCTGAGCTCCATTTATCAAAAAATTACTCCAGGGGGTGCAAAAAGTTACTATGTAACTTTTAGAAACAATGGTTGTTCAACAGAGCTTTCACAAGTTGATATTTTTTGTCATAATGAGGAATTTTAACATCCGCCATAAGATACCTTTTGTCATGGTCACAAATATAATAATTTAAATACAAATAAAATAAATCAATAATAAATAATTAAGATAAATAATCAAATAAATAATTATAATTGAATAAAAATAATTAAGAAAATAAATAAAATCACTGTAATAGATAACAAAGGAAAAAGTAATTAAATAAAATTATGAATAAAATAATAAAGTACTGATGATAATAAAAATCAAATTAAAGTAACTGACATGATTTTTTGGGGTATTTTTTTATTGACCTAACATGATCATGTGATCATGAAAATGCTGTATGGAAAGTTTCATAGTCTGGAAAAAATTATTCACAGAGATATGAGCCTTCAAAATTGCTCATTTTGCTTCCTGCCAATTTACATTCTGTCAGGGGGTGTGGCTAAACGTGATGTCATACAAGGCTTATGGTTGACTTTTACCATTGACTGCAATGTAAGTTTAGTAGATATTATCTCTTTTAGATTTCATTTTATACCTTGTAGTTTAATCCTGTGATAAAAGTGATAGATTGTGCTCATAATTCATAATAGTCAGAGGACATCTGAGTCATTATGGCTGGTATAGCTTGGAGCTCATAGCCTACTTTTGACAATCCATAATGAAGCTGTTCTTATGTGGTTCATCAAATTACATGTACTAATTTTTATTACCAGACTTAAACACAACAAGCGTAACAGAGTAAAAATTATTCCTATAATTGATTTCCCCACCTTGCAAGTACAACTTGGTCATTATTAAGACTTATAGAGGATCTCTCTACCATATAAGGCTTCTAGAGAAGTGCTTAGACGGTATCTCCATGTTCTCTTGCTGTTAGAAAGCTCTTAACTTTGTCCCATGTGTAAGCTGCCATTTTGTTTGCCGTGACCACACCCACTCACGTAAAGGAGCGTGGGCGGGTGGTTGCTAAGGCTTGTTATTTCTCCAATACAACGTGTATAGAAGAAATGTAAGTGTGGACATACAAATAAATATATATATTATATATACATAGTGCGACGGTGAATTCAATTATAGGAACGACCTAGGGGCTTCGCCCCCAGGTCGTTAACAATGAACTATTAAAAATTCAAATACACAAGAACAGCTTTATTATGGATTGTCAAAAGTAGGCTATGAGCCACAAGTTATACCAGCCATAATGACTCAGATGTCCTCTAACTATTATGAATTATAATCACAATCTATCACATTTATCACAGGATTAAACTACAAGGTATAACATGAAATCTAAGAGATATTATCTACTAAACTTACATTGCAGTCAATGGTAAAAGTCAACCATAAGCCTTGTATGACATCACGTTTAGCCACACATCCTGACAGGATGTAAAATGGCAGGAAGCAAAATGAGCAACTTTGAAGGCTCATATCTGTGTGAATAATTTTTTCCACACAATAAAACTTTCCATACAGCATTTTTATGATCATATGATCTTGTTAGGTCCATACAAAAAAATACCCGAAAATTCATGTCAGTTACACTTTAAATAATTTAATTACAAATAAAAGTTCAGTTTTTGGCTTGCCCAGCAATCAAGTCTATTCTTAATGATTACGGCCTTTGTGACTGTTCATCTTACCTAGAAAAATTTTAAAAAAATAATTATATTTTGAAACGTGTTAATGTTATGTCTTTGCTTTTGCAGTAAAAGAAACAGTAGCAATAGCAACACATTAATAATTTCTCACCATCAAACAGTGCATAGAGTAAGCCACTCACTTCCAGTCACCATCTACTTTCAGATGCTGTTTTCAGCTTTCATGTATCTTATCCTTATCTACTAGAAGTATGGTATCTTTAGAAACTGCAAAGGCTCTAGTTTTATGTAGTATGATTCCTTAAAATGCTTGGCATTTTTTGCAAAGCTATAGCATGGTATAAGTAAAATTCGAACCCATGAACTTTTGCTTGCACCTCATGGAATTTCGTATGCAAATTACTGCTCCTAAGAGAACAAGCCATCTAAAATTTGTGTTGTACCTAAGTAATCTTCTATCCTTAGTGAAGCCATGACAGCAGTAGACATTTCTTCGTTCCGTCACAAATCTGGAAAAGGTTAAAAATCTTGAGGTGTTAATTAATCAGATAATCGGACACGCCTACTTCACTGCACATGGTTGTTTCTTTGCCAGGTCGAGCTGTTATCTCATAGTTATCTCATTCATTCTCACTTTGGGCTTGTATTT